GTTTTGTATTATTATAGTATACGTTCTGTCTCTTATACACATCTAGATGTGTATAAGAGACAGGTGTATGGACATGCATGGGCTTTGAAGCAAACATTCTGATTATTGCCTGCACTTGACATGCTCAAACTATCATTCCCACGCTAAGACAGAACGCTAAAACGATATTTCTTCGGCGATTTCGTTATTTAAAACATGGTTATTATACTACTTAAAATAACACATGTACCGTATTCCGAAAATCCGAAACTCTCCTAAATTCCAAACATAATATTCGGTATAAACACAAAAATCAACTTCTTAAACGAGACGATCAGTTAAACCCTGAACAAAACAACAAGCATAGGTCTACCAGATGCCGTGAAAAAGAACTGTGATGTCATGCCATGGAGATTATAGAGATTTGAGTTTGACAAAGGATGCAAAAGCTATCAAGGTGTGTATAAGAGACAGCCTTCCACTAGGGTGATTCTTTTCAGTATCCTGGCGTTTTAAAAACTTAAGTGCTATTTCCGAGCATCTAGACGTGTAAATTTTACAAAATTTTCTAACCCCAGCCCCAAACATGGTGGGGCTGAGGTTATTGGAGACTCACACCGTACCAATCAATGCTTCCGCCACCCCTGATTACGGAGGATATTTGTAGAGAATGAAATTTAAATTCGTTATAAAAAAAACCCATTAAGTTTCTTGATATGTTTAAATTAATTTGTTTAGAAGTCATCATCATCTTGCACTGAGCTTGTTCCTTGTGTCATGCACTATGAAACTTTGGGTGATCTGACGTCATTGAAGCGTGTGTTTGCACACCACTGTTGCACCCCTGAAAAACAAAATTAACAAATTGGCGGACAGGATTTCGGAGGCGCGGTCTCTGCCCTCAGCAAAGTGAATGCAAAATAAATAACGAAATTAAGAACTTGAGTGCTATTTCCGAGCACCTAGACATATAAATTGTACACAATTTTCTAAAATGGCAATCATGTGTTGTTACTTATTGTACAACATACATATTGTAATAAAATATTTTTCTTTTGAATATTAAATATTAATCAGGCTGCAAAACAGTTTCTGAATGTCCCGTACGCCACATATGGAATCGCCCTACCTTAGTACAATCTACATACCTCTGACACCAACTGGAGTGCGGGATATCCCTCCATGATGTTTAATTAATGCAAACAGGATTTTCAAAGATATTTCTCCGCTGGAAACCATACTGTAGGTTGCTGATTAATGCATAATTTTGGTAAATCAACTTTGACATTTGTCATCCTCTATTTCTACTACCTAACATTTTCTTTTCTTTTTATCTCTGGTTTTACCACTGCTGCACCTCCAGCTCCATTTCCAGCAGCAACTCGTTCAGTTTTCATGATATTCTTGAAATGATTTTTGATGGCTGACTGCCAAGAACTCTAAAATAAGAGACAAAAAAAAACACCATTCAAAAAACTAATTCAACAATGAAAGTTAATGTTCTCATTAAATATCTTGAAAAATCAAGGGCGGAAAAATATTTGTTTCTGTTTCTGTTCGAAGCGCGAACTCCTGTAGACCAAACCCAGTACCATCTAGATGTGTATAAGAGACACCACTCAAGATAAAATCAAACAAACATAAAGTCACTGTTAATGCAAATTGTCAGTCAGCAATGAACAATTACTGGTAACTAGTACACAGACCTATGGTAAAAATCTCGGGGGCATTCCCAGATTTTACATTTTTTGCTAATTGTACCAAAAATGGCCGAGCTAAATGGCCGAGCGGTTAAGGCAGGGGCACCGTGATCATAGCCAACAATATCGGCACAGGTTCGCAGCCGGCTCGCTCCTATAGTTCTGGTGGTGGAACAAGTCTTCTCGGATAAGGACTATAAACCATAGACCTAGTGTACACAAATGCTCATGTGCACTTTAAAGAACCCAGTACATATTTCGAGATGAGTAGGGGGTTACCCCGGTGTACTGTTCAATCGGCCCCTGTCATGGACAGATGAAAGTGCGCCAGTTTACTGGCTGCGGTGGACATGAAGTGCAACATTTAGTCCCGAGCGCATAGAGACCTCGTTTATCTGCGTTATATAAATCCATCTATTATTATTATTATTATTAAATTGATGGTTTTGGAGAAAATAATTCACAAGGCAGGAATTCTTAAAGCTCGATTAATAACACCAATTTTAAAATTTTTTATGGTTTTATAACC